TTTATAACAGTGAATATATACAATAAATGAATAGATAAGAGTTTCTTTATAAAGAATGTTCAGATAAATAAAATGAAATCTTGTTTGTACATATACTTTGTTTTAATAAATGTCTTATTTCTCCTTTTCTTTCATTACTTTTATTGGCTTTTTATTCCTTAATGATGTGTTTGTTCTTCTTTCTAATTACATCCACTACTTTCATTTATTTTGACTTTATTATTCTTGTATTTTCGTTTCTTATTATTACACTCACCTTTAATCATTTTCACCCCCTATTTGTATGTCAAATAAATTCTATTTCATTGTGTTTTTTGTGAACAATTTCAATCTCTCTTATTCATTTTTCTTTTCACTTGTTTTGTTAATTTTTATATTCCTGATTAACCAACGTCTGTGATCACCATTTTTATCATAACATAGCACTATACAATCTTTACTAGATAATGTGTTATGATGACTGACAAGTAAACACGTCGTCATGTGAGACATAAACACAAAAGTAAAGTAAAATAGTACAAAATTAACTTAATGATAAAACAAGAAATTCAAAAAAATATGAAACAAAATGAAAAAAAAGAGAAAAAATGAACGTTGGTTTTAGATTGGTTCAAAACGAAGTTAGATATATTTTGTTATTATTTTTATTGTTTTTTGTTTTGTCTTTCATTTTTAGATAATTACTCCCATAATCCTATTCCAAAGTCAACAGTATTATATTACAATAGAATAGAAATGTAATATTAGTGGTTTCCCAATCCCTTCTTACTTGAAGAGGTATGAAGTTATTACAGAAACCTATAACTTGACATATATATATCTTTATTGCTTGTTCATTGAAGTAATAAAATTCTTGTATGTCTCATATTTTGTTATATACACCACTCTCTTAATCTCAAAATGAAGAAAAAGAAGAAATGAGATCTTCAAAACAACCTTTATTTTAACATGTGGAAGTGGTATGATGATACTAATTGGGTTGATTACGGAAAAGCACAAAACGACATCCTAGATAAAGCAGGAAATAATTTTCGTATTGATGTTGATGATGAAAGGTATGTTGAAACAAGTGATCTTAAAGAAATTTATAGGTTGTTTGGTGAACTTCCAAAGGATATCACTGGACTGTGTGCACTACAACACCGGAAAGATAATCCCCAACGTGTTCGACTTGTTAAAAATGCAGCTATTGACACATTAATTCATGACACTATTTTTTTTTATGGAGAAAGAGAATATTCTAAATCACGTTGTCGTCTTGAAGCTGAGTCTCTTGGGGCAACTATCACAAATGACTACCTCATTGCTGATGAAATAGTAATGAATTACAATGAACAATTCAATAAAGAAATTAAAGAGATAG